TTGGACGGTTTTACACGTACCTTTGTGAAAAAATACATAAGGGGACCTTCTTTGATAAAAAAAATAACAAAAAACTAAATCTACTAGCGGGAGGGTCTCCGGGTACGGCAGCTTCGTCGGTTCTCCTTAGCGGCTGGGGTTTTTTCTTTGGCTAATCTGTACAGAAAAGGATGATGAACACAATAGTAAACAAATTACATAAAATGGGAAACATAAAAGGGCTCATCGAAGGGGTTTTAGGATTTCGGCTGCGGTGGCTCCGCTGGGCTTTACCCATGATTTTCAGCTCACTATCTCTTTTGCTCTGATATAGGCATGGAGAGACTCAGAATCGAATTCCGAGTGGGTAGATGAGAGTTTTACCTTTTTTGATGGTTAGCGACGGCTTCGGTGCAACGGCGGCTGATGGTCGGTCTTTGTATCTAGCGGCTGGTCCTTCTTCTCCGGCGAGGGCAAGGCAGCTAGGGTTTGGGTTCCCTTGCGATGCGATATTTATATATTCACCCTGTATCGATCTGGGTTATCCATCCGCGTCGACATAGAGCGAAGAGAGCTGTCCGATCCTTGCTTATTTAGGCCAAATGCGTGGGTGAATCTGTACTGTTTATTGCGATTGATCTCATTCGTTCGATTGCGCATAAGGAGGGAATGCATATGAGTTGTTTACGCACGTAGGATCGAATTTGGGCCGTCAGATCATTGGGCACTGGGATTGCCCGTGTGGCCTCTCGCATGGCGCCAACGTCAATGTACTTTGCCACGAGGTGTGCTCTGATTTGTCGAAGCTGCTGACTGAGTTGTCTCACGTGGGCAAATTTTTTCTTTTTGTATTTTGACCCCATGTTTTCATTTTTTGTTAAAAAAACATCCACCGAACTTAAATTTTCACCAATTTACTCAAAAATTACTTTCAACTACGTACATAACATATTTTTCTTAAATAATTTAATAAAATTAAATTAAAATAACATAAAATTACTTTTTAATTATTTTTATAAATGCCAAAACTGATCTCGGATCAAATTCTATATTCGGATATTACCAAAACTATAAAAATAATATATTAAAAATATCTGCATTTTGATATATATTTTATGAAAGTTATGAAATGATACGAAAATTATAAAAAAAAATAATTATGAAATAGAATCCTTTGTATGGAAAAATTAAGAAAGTAGTTGAGATAATAGAAGAAGTTAAACTGACTAAGCACAATAGTGCATAAATACCTACAATCGACAGTATAAAAGCTATAAAAAATAATGAAAATATGTTTATTTGGATCTATGATTATCTCTCCTTTTCCTCCCTCCCCAAAGCAATGATTCTAAGTTTTTCTTTAGTTCATAATTCATAAAAATTTTTCATGTAACAATAGTATCGAAGCATTTTTCATGGCAAAATAGTTGAATCAAATAATACAAAACTCTAAAAAAGTAGGAAAATTAAATACATGGCTAGAGAAATGAGGGACCCATAGGAGAAAAATAAATCCAAAATAAAAATAAATAAATAAAGAATTCGGCAAAATGAAACAACTTCTATTAAATATAGTGGAATAGTTACTGACAACTAACAATTCAAAGATTAAGCCTCAAGACGGAGAAAATTCAAGAGCTCAATCTCATAAATAAAATAAAATAGATGTGGTGGTGGTGCTTTTATCCAGTGTGCCATCCACGCAAATGCTGTAACGACTATGAAAATTCAAAATAAAATATATAATAATTTAAGTGCGGAAGTAAAATAAAATGTTAAGATTTATATCATTTACACAATAACTTAAAAGTACTAAACAAACATCATAGAATGAATCTTCTGAAAGAAACATGAGAAATAGAAAAAAAAAACAAAGAAAAATATAAAATATCTAGCATTTACTCGCAATCTTCTTGAAGATCGGCTCGAAAACTAGGTCTTTTTGATCTAAAATGATTAAATAAGGGGTGAACTACACTAACCCAGTAAGGACATCACACTATATCACCGACACAGAAGCATAGATTGGTAGAAAATCAAAATAATCAATGGAGCATTAGATTTAAACCAATACATTTATTTAAAATAAAACCATTTACTATTTTACTTACCATTGGAGAATTTATGAAAACAAATTATAGAAATAATAATATCATACAGATCATGACCTCATGCACGACCAGCAACATATAATATATCATAAATCTACATTTATTAACAATAAACGAAATCGTAACCGTTTCTCGTTTCACCAGCCTACTAGTATCCATAATGATCCATAGGGGTGTTCCCGCTATACGTGAACCATTTCCCTTAACAGTCTTAATTACATAGCCGACCACATACCCCGTATAGTATGAGTGCCGAGACATTAAACCTCAATACCCTATCCGGTATGAGGGTGAAGTGGGTCGTCCCCATATCCCATCCGGTGTGAGCGCTAAACGACCAAGTCTCCATACCCCGTCTGGTATGAGACAACGTTCACGGTAGGATTTTCTATGAACCTGGTCCATCCACCATCTCCTAAGATATCTAGTGAGGCTATCATCTTATCTGTTTATTAGATCACACCCATTTTCTATTTTCTCTTAGCCCCTGTTACCAAATCAAACATAATCACATAAATAAATGAACATGCATCCAGTAATGCAATCATATCTTAAATCTCAAAATCAAGCAGATGTCAAGTAAGACAGTAATACATACATTTAAACTATAAAATATATAAACTAGATACTATCATACTTTTAGACTGTAAAATAAATCAACAGAGAACAATGTCCAATTCGGGCTCCATTAGCAATCCGTAATTAATTATGCACATCTATTTAATGTGTACAAAAGATCGTATTATTATTTATTCAAACTTCAAATCTATGATAGAAAATAGGGTGAGAGGTCCTTACCTGATTTGACACCGAAAAGCTAAATGGTTTACTGCGCCTACGGGCAGTCAATGGGTTCCCTGAATTTTTCATCGGGAACTAAAATGCACTTACGGTACATACAAATGTCCCAAATAACCCAAAAATCAGTCTCAGGGCCTACTCGACCAATTTCGAAAATCCAGCACGGCGGTGGCGATCCGCCTCGGGTTGGTTGTTTTCGGCCGAATTCACCCAAATTTGCATCAGTTCCTGTGAGAAAACACATTTAGGGCCCTTGGTTGACTGAAAAAATGTAGAAAAATGAAACTGGCCGAGTAGGCTGTCTTTTCTGGTGAGGGACTCTGGCGGCTAGGGTTAGGGTTTGGGTGCGGATGAAGTTATTTATACCCATCCGTTTTTTATCTAGGTCATCTATCACTTTTGATATGTACCGTCCGATCGCGATTCAATTTAGGTCGTCCGTGCACGCAGGAACGAACCTCAGTCGTTCGATCGCATGCACGCGGATCGCCCGCGTGGCTCTCCCCCCGCATGGCCTCCTGCGTCAGTGCCTCTGCTAGCTGGCGTGTCCTGGTTGGTCGGGGCTGCTGACCGGCCATCTGACGTGGTGCAATTTTTTTAAATTGTATTTTGACCTCTAGTTTTCGAATTTTCTTTCAAAAATACCCATATAACCTAAATTTTCATCAATTTTTCTCAAAATTATTTTCAATTTAATCATTAACTAATTTTTTCACAATTATTATTATTATTATTATTATTATTTTCATTAAATTAAATTCAATTAATAAATAATTATATTTAAAAAAATAAAAAAATAAAAAGTAAAAATAAATAAAAAATTAAATGTTGGGTGTTACAACTGTTACATTTAAAAAAAATTTATTTATGATTCACTTAGTATCACGTCAACAATTTGCAACACAATCTTAATACAAATTAAATAATATTTAACAGTAGAATTTCATTTCTATTTAAAAGTAAAGGAGTTTAAAGAAATAAAAAAATAATATAAATCTTAAATAAATGGAATATGGTTCACGAATTTATTATATATTTGAGTCAATAGAGATGATATATAGGTAAAATATATTATATTTTCATATAAGTTTTAAAGTACTTAAAAGAAGTGATGAGTGATTTTCTATTTGAATATCTTGTGATTAAAAGGCGTCTGTGCTTTATTGTTCATAGGTAATACCATTTTTAGGAAATTGCAAAAGTTGTGTGCATAATTTAATACCATTTTCAAGGAAATTGCAAAAGTTGTGAGCATAATTTAATATGGGTCGTTGAATGTTGACAGTTGAGATTCTTCAACAATTTACAAAAAGAAAAAAAAAAAACTAATTAAATAATGTGATATTCAATGTACACTTCATATATAATTATTACAATCAATTACAAGTTATTAACATTTTTTTATCACCATAAATTGTTAGAAACTTTAATATTATACTAAATGTAACAATTTTCTACTATAATTTTCATAAATAACCCATAATAATTAGCTACAATGTTGTAGTTATTTTTTTATTTTAAAAAAATATATATGAATTTGAGTTATGAATTCTAATATAAAAATATTAAGATATATAAATATAAAACATTAATCAATACATGTTTAATAATAATATTTTTTATTTTAAAAAGTAAATTAAATTAAATTAAATTAAAAAAGAAAAAAAAAAAGACACTGAAAACGAAAAGATTTTAATTTAATTTATTAGACATTAAACTACCTTCTGCACCGGCAATAACTTCGCGGATGTCTTATCTTGAGATCCTCAAGTCGCGTTCTTCAACCAATCTCCTCTCATGCACACTCATTTTAATTTGCTTCTTCTTCTTTTTTTCCCTTTTATAATTATTAAATTTGATAATGGATAAGAAAATCAAAATTTCTTAATTATCTTATTTATTAAAACTAATAAAAAATTTAATTTTTATTTAGCGATTTAATTACTTTATTAATTATTTATACATCGCGCAAACCTTGTAAATCAACATAGTTTATTTTAATTAATTAGGGTTAGAGAAAAAAATATTGGAAAGGGATAATTTGGTAAATTCAAATCACGTTCCTATGTGGCATTGGCGTACACCACCGTGTCAAAGCCCCAGAGGTTTGGCAGTTCAACACTTCCCACTTCAGTTTCTCCTAAACTTCCGTTTTCCGCCCCACAACTGAGCTGAGTGAGTCAGAGGGAGAGCACCCAAATTCTAACCAACCCATGGATCTTCCAAATGGAATCCATGGCCGCTGCAATTGGAGTCTCCGTCCCTGTTCTCCGCTTTCTCCCTTGCTTTCGTTGCAACAATTCCGGTCTCGTTCTTGTGGCGGATAATTCCGGGTAGATTTCCCCGTCATCTTTACTCGGCTGCCTCCGGGGCGGTTCTTTCCCTATGTTTCCTTTTGGTTTCTCTTCGAATCTTCATTTTTTGGTGCCTATGCTGTTGGCCTACGCTTCATGGTGTTTTACCGGCCAAAATGCGGCATCATAACCTTTTTCCTTGGATTTGGTTATCTCATCGGTTGGTACGTTTGACTTTTATTATTTAATTGAGGTTTTATCGGTTTTTTTTTTAATTCCTTTGGAATTTGGATGTTAGATTGTTGCCTGAATGGTTATTGATTTGATTTCTTTAGTTTTGCGGATTGTTGTCTTAATTGAAGTTTGCTTTTTTTTTTTTTTTTTTTTTTCTAATCAAAGTTTGAATTGGAATTTAATCTTATTTGCTATTTATGTTACTCAAACCTAAGCTTAATAAAATTCCACAAAATAACAAAGGTTCGGCGTTTTGATATGCATTTTAGTAATCTATTGGTTATTGCTTCTGTTTGGTAACTGCTTATCTGCTGTAATCAATGAAAAATATTAAATAACATATCAAATTGAATTCTTAGAAGCAGGCTTTAGAAGGGCAAAGCTTCCGAGTACTGACTATTTGCATATGTGTGTAGTCATGTATATTACATGAGTGGAGATGCATGGAAGGAAGGAGGAATAGATGCCACTGGTAAGAAATTCCTCAGGTTTTGCCTTTTACAAGTTTGCTTGAACTGGTTTAAATGTTCTTTCTCAAGTGAATGTCAAATTTCTACATATTTCATTGTACTAGGTTTTGTTATACTATCAGAATTCAAATTTAATATGAACCAATAAGAAAGAAACTCGCATTTTTCCTTTACGAAGATTGTTAGACCTCTATTTATTTGAATGTGTGGCCGTATACTTGTGTGACTAATTGCTGTTTTACTTAATTTGCATTTCTCAATCATGGCTTTTTTTTGTTTTTAAATTTTAGGAGCCTTAATGGTGTTAACATTAAAAGTCATTTCGTGCGCAATAAATTATAATGATGGATTGTTAAAAGAGGAAGGCTTACGTGAAGCACAAAAGAAAAATCGGTTGATTGAATTACCTTCGTTGATTGAGTATTTTGGTTACTGCCTCTGCTGTGGTAGTCACTTTGCCGGCCCAGTTTATGAAGTCAAGGATTATCTTGAGTGGACCGAGGGGAAGGGGGTAGGTTTACCATTGTCTATTCTTAACTTGCTTTGTCTCTTTGGTGGTTATTGGGTTTTCCGTTCTTTCTTAATTCTTCAATTAATACTTTTTCAGATTTGGGGTCGTTCAGAGAAAAGCCGGTTACCATCACCTTATGGGGCCACTCTTCGAGCTCTTTTTCAAGCTGCTATTTGCATGGGTTTGTATCTATACCTGGTACCCTACTATCCCTTGTCACGATTCACTGATCCCTTATACCAAGAATGGGGATTTTGGAAACGGTTGAGCTACCAGTACATGTCTGGATTTACCGCACGTTGGAAATATTATTTCATCTGGTCAATTTCAGAGGCTTCTATCATTATATCTGGTTTGGGTTTCAGTGGTTGGACAGAATCTACTCCGCCTAGGCCACGATGGGACCGTGCAAAAAATGTAAACATTCTAGGAGTTGAATTTGCAAAGAGTGCAGTTGAGTTACCACTTGTTTGGAACATACAAGTCAGCACCTGGCTCCGCCATTGTAAGTGTAAAAAGTTGACTACAGGCTGAACTTGGATGTATCCTAATCATGGTTCTAATTTAGGTATTAATAAATTTACATAAAAAGTTACTTGGAAAAGCTACCTCTTCTAAGTATATTGAACCACAACCAAATCTAGTCTAATCAAACTTCAATCTTCTTAGACTTATTTTTTTCTAGCAATTTTTTGTGCTATAAAAAACTGATATCTATAATATGTGAGGCAACTACAAAGCTAGACATTACAGCTTAAATATGACGTATCGAACTTACCTTGTTACAGATGTTTATGAGAGACTTGTTAAGAAGGGGAAGAAACCGGGTTTCTTCCAGTTGTTGGCTACACAGACCATCAGCGCTGTGTGGCATGTGAGTATTATCTTGTCCCTTTTCTTTCTTGAACATTGTGTTCAATATTCATCTCGTAGTGGTCCCTGCTGTTCATGTATTGTTGAAATGAAAATTTATTTCGTGAACTTGCATTTTAATGCATTTTTGTCTTGGCAAGTTAGTCATTACCATGGTCCTACTTCAATAGAGTTCATAGTGCTCATCCTAACCTTTGATCAAGGGATTGATCCATAAATGTTTTGCAAATTTTGTTCGGGCTTGTATTTTGTCCTTGCCGAAGAGATCTTTATAAATACTAGTTTTGTTTTGTTTTGTTTTTGTTGTCTCTCTCTCTCTCTCTCTTTTCTTTTTTTTTCTTTTGTTTTTCAGAGCAGCCGTTGCTTCCATTTCATATAATTTTTTCTTATGCTTCAATGGTGATCTAACATCCTTGTGAATTCTTTTTTTGAAATAAACATCCTTCTCAATTCTTAGCGCTTCTACCGTGAAAACCAGTAATTGGATCCGTGAATGGGTTTGAATGTAATATGAGTCAGTTTGTGTCATGTTTATATTTTTTTATTTAATTTAATATAGTTAATTCTCAATTAATTTCTAAAATGGAATTGGTTATTCCATACTGTGTGTCCAATTAGGATCATGTATCTTATGAAAGTTTAGTAGGCACACAGCGGTAAAATTTTAGTTGGTATAAAATGCATTAAATGAGAATAACAAGTAATGAAAATTAATAATTTGATATAAGAACCAAATTAGTCTCAATCCTTCGTCTCTTCAACCTCCTACCAATTGACCCTTAGTCTTCTGTTGGTAGTCAGCTCTATGTGTTGTTCCCAGTTTTGGCATCTAGCACTGAAATGATCCATATTATTGCAAGCAGGTCATGTCCTGATTGGTACTTATTTTTTCATATGTACTATTATTCTGATACCAGCAATCAAATTTCATTCCAATATTTTACAGAAAGAAGTTGTTTGAGTATTCTGCTTATTGACAAATGATTGTTTTATTTACTTAATTAAGTTCTTAGAACTTTTGTCAATATAATTTGATATTTTTTATTATCTCTCCGATTTATAGGGGCTATATCCTGGTTATATCATATTCTTCGTTCAGTCAGCATTGATGATTGCTGGCTCAAGAGGTGTGCAATATCTGGCTACATTTATACATACTGGTGGTTGACTAAAATAATACCATCTCATTTTATTGGATGATTTTTGTTGCCTTTCAAGCAGTCATTTACAGATGGCAGCAAGCTACAAGTATGGCGCTTTTTAAGAAGTTGCTGGTCCTCATTAACTTTGCCTACACAGCTTTAGTTCTAAACTATTCCTGTGTTGGTTTTATGGTAACTTTCTTTTGTTTCTCTCCCTCTTGCTCACCAACTTTTAAGCACTAACTGCTCGTTTGATTTCTTCTATTATTCTTCTGAACTTGAAGCTCAAAACTTTTGGAGCTTATAACGCTTTTGTTCTGTTATGAAACAGGTGTTAAGCATGCATGAAACGCTTGCCTCGTACAGGAGTGTCCATTATATAGGAACCATTATTCCCATTGTGTTGATTATGCTTGGTTACATAGTCCCTGCAAAGCCTTCCCGGTCCAAAGTGCGGAAGGAACAGTGAGAGCTTGGAGCAGCAGAACCTGCATTTTGTTCCTTTCTTTTATAGTAATTGTAATGAGATTTGGGAATCATGATTCTTCTCTACTTTGGATATATATATAACATTTGTTTCCTTTTCTGGAATTCTATGCTTAATTTAATCAATGGTTAATTTTGGCTTCAGTTTGTTAAAAATAAATTAGTTTTTGCAATTGAATTTTGACAATCGAAGTTTTAATATTAATCATATTAATCAAAGTAATTTATGAAGAAATTATTATCGCATAGTGCTTGCAATAGTTGTTTAACTATACAGCCTCTGTGAAAATTTTTCTTCTAAAATATTTATAATTAATATTGTCTTACACTGTTAATTAGAAATGTTAATATATCAAAATTTAACAATATCAATAAAACATAGGCTTTTAATAAATAATTAAAGATTTTTTATTGTGAAAATAAAAAATTAATAAAATTATTTAAATAATAAATACATTGATATTGACTCTTTGCCACCTGGGGCTTTAGTATATTATAAGGGTTAGGTTATTCGTATTGAATCTAGAATATTACAAAATAAATTAGTTTATATTCGATGTGAGCATTAAAATATTATTAGGATTTTTTTTTAATATAAAAAGACAAGAATAATGTACTTTTAATATATTATTTATCGTGTCCACAATAAATACAAAGTAATTAAGTACAAAATAGATAATTACTGAAAATATTTAAATAATAAATACATTCTAAGTTAAGAATGTCAAATCAATCTAAAATTAAATTATATTATTTATTTTATTATGCTCTATTATGAATGTTTTTAAAATTTAAATCAAGATTATAAAAAATATAGTGTAGTATTTAATTTAAGTTTGATAGTATATGCACACACATAAATATATATATATATATATACCAAATACAGTATTTAATGTAATTTATCTTTGTAATTATTTTTAATTTGCATTTAGAACTTTTGGGCATTTACTTCAATTTGGGCAAATTTAGTTTTTAACGGGAGTGATTTATTTATCCATATTAAATTGAGTTGGCTGTAGAGATGAAATATTTGGATTAGTTGAAATCTACTTTGAACTCGACACGTTAACATTGAACATAGGAGGTGAGTACCTGAAAACTACACACACACACATATATACATATCTACAAATCTCTGTGTGCGCGCGTATATATAACTAGATAGATAACTTTGAAAGAGAAAATTGTCTTAAACATTAGGAAATTGTGGAAGGCAACATGATTAGTAAGAAAATGAAGGGCATCACTGCAACTTGTCGAAAATTTCACTGAGCGGGGTTTTAACGAGGGTTTCTCAACACACAGCTAGTAGCGAATCACTCTCCCTGTCCCTTCATGCTTTGTTCAAGTCAACTTTCGGCTCTACACGTAAGGAGTTCTACAAATCTCTCTTTCAGTTTTCGTTCCTCGGCATTTTTTGATCAAACATTTATTTGTCACCACTTTTTTTGTTCGGTCCTTTGGGGATTTGATTGATTGATTGCAGCTGTTGCAACCATCAAAAGATCACTCGCTGATTCTATTTATTGTCATTGCCGTTCCCAAATGCATCGAAGTCTCACCATTTTTACCCGTCAGATTCTCACAAATTCCAGTCTTCTTCGGACAACCAATCATTCGCTCTACTTCGAATCGAGCTCACTAAACCCTCGCCCAACTTGGTCTTTGTTCTTTCGTTTCCTGTCGTTTCACCCGGTGCATCGGCATGCACCGGATCCTGATGACCCGGCCACCTTAATGAAAGAAGATGGCGTCTCGGTTTGTTCCCAAATGTGGATTGAGAATTTCCGAGAACCTGATAGGACAGTGACTAATTTGACATCGTACCTTCGTAGGTTTGAGTTGTGGGTATTGGCTTATCAAAAAGTGTGTTGCGATGAGATGGGTGCCTATGTGCCCCGTAGCGCCATTCAGAGGTCTGCATTAGAGGACTTGTTGGCGTTAAGAAATGCGGTTCTTGATAGTAGGTTTAAGTGGGGAGCCAGGTTAGATTTCTTCATTAAATCGCCTAAAGATAAGACTGATTATGATTCACTGTCCAAGAGGAAAATAAAGGCAATTCTGACAACAACACAGCCGGCGTCTTTTCAGGACAAGGTAGTGCAAGAAGTGTTGCTTATGATGTTGGAGCCAATATATGAGGCTAGGTTTTCGCAGAAATCATATGCCTTTAGGCCGGGGAGGAATGCGCATACGGTGTTGAGGGTGATTAGGAGAAATTTTGCGGGTTATTTGTGGTACATAAAAGGGGATTTAAGTGCAGTTTTGGATGGAATGAAGGTGGGATTGGTGATTGGTGCTATGATGAGAGATGTGAGGGATAAGAAAGTGATTGATTTGATAAAATCAGCCTTGGTTACACCAGTGATAACGAGTCAGATTGATGACGGGGAAAAGAAGAAAAAGAAGAAGAGAAAGTACCAAAAGAAAAGAGTACTGGCAGATGATGAGCCGAAGCCTGATCCATATTGGTTAGAATCGTTTTTTGGATTTGCTCCTGAAGAAGCAGAGAAAGTTCCTTCATGGGGGCATTGTGGAATCCTTACTCCACTTTTGTTTAATATATGCCTTGATGAACTGGACCGTTGGATTGAGGGGAAGATTAAAGAGTTCTATCGCCCATCAAAAAGCGATGTCATATGGAATAGCCCAGAAGGGGAAGCAGATCAGGGAAATACATCTTGGCCAGAATTTGTGCCTACAAGTGGACCAGATAAGACACGGAAAATGGATTATGTAAGATATGGGGGTCATCTTCTGATTGGAGTTCGAGGACCTAGGATAGATGCTGCGACATTAAGAAAGCAGTTGATTGAGTTTTGTGATCAGAAATACATGCTTAAGCTTGATAATGAAAGCCTCCCTATTGAACACATAACCAAAGGTATAATGTTCCTTGATCATGTATTGTGCAGGAGAGTGGTGTATCCAACTCTTCGGTATACTGCAACTGGTGGAAAGATAATTAGTGAGAAGGGTGTGGGTACCCTTTTGTCCGTTACAGCAAGTTTGAAACAGTGCATCAAACAGTTTAGGAAGTTGAACTTTCTCAAAGGGGATAGGGATCCAGATCCACAGCCTTGTTTTAGAATGTTTCATGCAACTCAAGCTCACACTAATGCACAAATGAACAAGTTCTTGTCAACAATGGTTGAGTGGTATAGGTTTGCAGACAATAGGAAGAAGATTGTTAATTTTTGTTCATACATCCTAAGGGGTTCACTTGCTAAGCTCTATGCTGCAAAATACAAACTCAGATCAAGAGCAAAGGTGTATAAGATTGGTTCTCGAAATCTGAGTCGTCCTTTGAAAGAGAAAAAAGGGCAGTCACCTGAATATCATAATCTTCTTAGAATGGGTCTTGTTGAGTCAATAGATGGGCTTCAGTATACCAGGATGTCTCTTGTTCCTGAAACTGATTACACACCTTTTCCAAGTAATTGGAGACCTGATCATGAGAAGACCTTGCTTGAATACATAAAGCTTGATGATCCAAAAACACTGGAAGAGCAAAGGAGTTGCATCATAGAACAGGGACTTGTGTCACCTCAGGACTATATTTCAATGCTTGTTTGGAACTACAAGAGGAATGCAATCGTGATGGATAAGCTTTCCCTTGTGGAGAATGGTAGTAACAACATTGAGAGGGATCGACCTCTGTTGATGGATGCCTCTAATGAGAACAGTGATCAAAAGAGCAAAACAGAGGAAGAAATTATTGAGAGGGTTCAGTTCGCTAGAATGTAAAATAGTTTTTGTACTCATCTTGATATTGGAAATTTTTTCAGCAGGCTCTCTTCTGGCTAGAGAAATGAAATGCAGAGAGTTGTTGCTTCAGTGAGTTAGCAATCCACTTAATATTGTTTGAAGAATAGATTATCTTGTATATTATACAGAGTTTATCAAATTTAAAAAATTTGAAGAACTTGTCAGAAAGGATGCTTTAAAAGTCGTAGCTGCTTTCCTTCTCAGTTTCTTGGTAATTTTGTAGTTTTCCTTTGAGATTTCATCACAAATTACCTTGATGTCTTCTCAGAATTCACTGATCATTTCGAGTTTTAAAGTTAGAGTGCTCTCTTTGTCTCTGTCTGACACTGGCGCTTTCCCAGGTTCTGATTTATGAAGGTCAGGCACTATTCCTTCTTCCTTCATATAGAAAGTTGTTTCTCTAGTTGACATAGTTTAAAAATGTGGTTTGAATTTATAACATGTATGGTTCAATGCCATTTCAACTAATTGAAAAATGAAATGGTATATTTAAGTTTTAGACTAATCTTAGGATCAATTAAATTCAATATCAGTAGATCTTTTTGTGACAATTTTTAGTAGATGTACTTTAACAACTAGTCACTTACATATTACCGTTCCATTGAATTTTAACAAAATTCATAGCTATGGAATTAGAAATATGACTACATGACTAAAGCTGATTTATTTTTGCATCAAAAATATAAATTATAACTAATCTCTATATGTTATAAAAATTCAATGGAAATAAAATATATTTGAAGTAAACACAACATTAGCTTAAAGAGGATAACTTTAAAAAACCACCTCTTTGAAGTATATTGAACCACAATCAATACTGGTTTAATCAAATTCAATCTTCTTAGATTTAGTTTTGTCTAGGAATTATTTCTGGTATAAGGAATTGATATCTATAATATGTGAGATGACTACAAAGCTAGACATTACAGCTTAAATATGACGTATCGAACTTACCTTGTTGCGGATGTTTATGAGAGACTTGTCAAGAAGGGGAAGAAACCAGGTTTCTTCCAGTTGTAGGTGACACAGGCCATCAGCGGTATGTGGCATGTGAGTATGATTTTATCCCTTTTCGTTCTTGAACATGGTGTTTTCACTCTTGCTTTATTGTATTTGATATTCAACTCGTAGTTGTCCCTGCACTTCGTGTATTGTTGAAATGAAAATTTATTTCGTGAACTTCCATTTCAATGTGTTTTTGTCTTGACAAGTTAGTCATTAATATGGTCCTATTTCAATAGAGTTCATAGTGCTCATCCTAACATTTGATCAATGGATTGATCCATAAATGTTTTACAAGTTTTGTTCTGGGCTTGCGTTTGCTGAATAGGTCTTTGTATTGCTAGTTAATGATTTTTATCTTTTCCAGGAAATGGTTTTGTTTTGTTTTTGCTGTTATTCTCTCTCTCTCTCTCTCTCTCTCTCTCCTTTTTTTTTTTTTCAGAGCAGCCGGTGTTTCCATTTTATATAATTTTTTCTTATGCTTCTATGGTGATCTAACATCCTTGTGAATTCTAATCGCTTCTGCGAAAACCAGGAATTCGATCTGTGAATGGGTTTGAATATAATACGAGTCACTTTGTATCATGTTTAGTTTTTTTTTTTTTAATGTGATTTAATATATTTAATTTATATAGTGAATAAGCACATCCAGGGTCAAATTTTAGTTACTATAGAATGTATGAAATGAGAATAACAAGTAATGAAAAAAATTAATGATTTGTTACAAGAACCAAATTACTCTCAATCCTCCTCTCTTCAACCTCCTACCAATTGACCCTTAGTTTTCTGTTGCTAGTCAGCTCTATATGTTGTTCACAGTTTTGGCATCTAACACTGAAATGATCCATTGCAAGCAGGTCATGTCCTGATTGGTACTTATTTTTTCATATGTACTATCATTCTGATACCAACAATATTTTTTCATATGTACTATCATTCTGATACCAACAATCAAATGTCACTCCAATATTTTACAAAAAAGGTTGTTTTTCTGCTTATTGACAAATGATTGTTTTATTTACTTAATTAAATTCTTAGGACTTTTGTCAATATAATTTGATATTTTTTATCGTCTCTCCAATTTATAGGGGCTATATCCTGGCTATATCATATTCTTCGTTCAGTCAGCATTGATGATTTTGCTGGCTCAAGAGGTATGCAATATCTGGCTACATTTATACATATTGGTGATTGACTAAAATAATACCATCTCATTTTATTGGATGGTTTTTATTGCCTTTCGAGCAATCATTTACAGATGGCAGCAAGCTACAAGTATGGCGCTTTTTGAGAAGTTGCTGGTCCTCATTAACTCTGCCTACACAGTTTTGGTTCTAAACTATTCCTGTGCTGGTTTTATGTAACTTTCTTTTGTTTCTCTCCCTCTTGCTCATCAACTTTTAAGCACTTACTGCTCGTTTGATTTCTTCTATTATCTTCCTGAACTTGAAGCTCAAAATTTTTGGAGCGTATAACGCTTTTGTCCTGTTATGAAACAGGTATTAAGCATGCATGAAACGCTTGCCTCGTACAGGAGTATCCATTATATAGGAACTATTATTCCCATTGTTTTGATTATGCTTGGTTATGTAGTCTCTGCAAAGCTTTTCCGTCCAAAGTACGGAAGGAATGGTGAGAGCTTGGAACAGCAGAATCTGCATTTTGTTCCTTTCTTTTATGGTGATTGTAATGATATTTGGGAATAATGGTTCTTCCGGAATTTTATCCTTAATTTAATTAATATTTAAATTAAGGCATCTCCAATGCATATTAACACATAAGAGTGTTAAATACAGAAATAAATTACTGAGTATATGATAAAAATTATATGCACCAAAATAAATTATTACAAATCTCTTATTAAAATATGAGTTTTAATTACACATTTATAAAACTGAAATTATACGTGGCAAAATATAAAATATTAAAATGCAAGAGGATCACTTCTTTCACTATTCGATTGAACTCATCAAAGTGTGGGATAAGTCTTGCATGTGAATGACCAATCAGTTTCATTTTCATATTGGGTATAATCTAATGACTATGACCATATTTTGCCATTGCAGCCATACATATCACATTATGAATCCATTCTCATAAGAGGGAACGCCAATCTCATTCACAAGGAGCAATTCATCGACATTTTACATATAGAGGAGGAAGAGATAGAAACCCCCCAAAGATAATAGTTAAATGAATTTTTCTTTCTTTTCTCTCATATTCTATGTTCATTCAAAACAGTTACATATTAGAACCCATTGGGGGATCTAATAACATATCTGGCCCAGAGCCCATTTTGCCCGAACTTGGCCATTGGGTCATCCTTTTAAGCCAAGGCTCTGTAGAGTGTCCCTCTTCACTATTATCATAGATAAGGCAAAGGGCCAAGCTCACATGCATTTTGAATCATCATTGTTTTGTATCCACCATGCTTAACATCATACATCCCATATTTTGCAAATGTGGAGTCATTGGGGATGCCTGGGTTCTATTTAGCATGATGCCAACCAGGAATGTGATTTGTTGGAACTCTATGATTTGGGGCTTCACATAAAATGGACAGGATATTGAAGCACTAGCCCTCTATGAAAAAATGTTGCAGGAAAACTTAAAACCAGACAATGTTACTTTTCTCAGTGTTATGTCTGCTTGTAGTCATGCTGGTTTAGTCGAAAAGGGAAAGGGATATTTTTGTCAAATTAGTGAATTGTACAACATGACACCCACTTTGGATCATTATGCATGCATGATAGGTCTTCTTGGTTGTTCAGGTAATTTAGATAAGGCAGTGGATATAATTAAAGACATGCCCCATGATCTAGATTCCGTAATTTGGTCCACCCTTTTATCAGTATTTGTAAAGAAGAGCAATATCAAACATGGAGAGATGGTTGCTAGGCACCTCTTTGAATTGGAGCCTCTCAATGCTGGCCCTTATATCATGCTTTCTAACATGTATGCCAGCTTAGGGAGATGGGAAGATGTCAAATCTCTGAGGTCTCTCATGAAGGCTAAGAATGTCAAAAAGTTTGTTGCTTATAGTTGGATTGAGACTGATAATTACATCTTTAAGTTTGTAGCAGAGGATCGGACTCATCCAGAAACAGAAATGATATATAAAGAGCTGAACAAACTTATTAAAAAGCTGCAAGAAGCTAGTTTTAGTCCGGATACAAACTTAGTTCTACATGATGTTGTTGTGGAGGAAAAGTTTGAATCCATTTGTTATCACAATGAGAAACTTGCTCTTGCATTTGGACTGATAAAGAAACCTGATGGAACAATACCAATAAAGATCATAAAGAATAATCAATTACAATAAGAGTTGATAATAACTTGTAGGTTTGTGGATCTACCAGATCTTCATAGACTTCAAGGGGTAGGTCAAAGGTCGGTTCCTCACTATCTTTCTCCTATGGGGTTGCATGGAAATGACGAGTTCTATATACTCAGTAGGAAAAGTAATATTTAAATAATATGTAACACCCAAATAAAAATAAAATTTTTTATTTTATTTATTTTTATTTTTATTTATTTGTTTGATTTTTTATTTTATTTAATTTAATTTAGTTTAATGAAAATAAAAATAATAATAGTGATAAAATTGGGTAAAAATATTATTTGGATTTAATTAAAATTGATTTTGGGAAAAAATGGTGAAAATTTATATTCTGGGGGTGTTTTTGAAAAGAAAATCGGAAACCAGGGGTCAAAACGTAATTTAAAAAAGTTGTGCCACGTCAGCACCCGGTCAGCATCCATGTCAGCGGCCTGTTCAGCAGCCCCGGCCAACCAGGACGCGCTGTGTGGCAAGGAAACGCTGACCTGAGGACGGGCCACGTGGGCGATCTGCGTGCGCGCGATCGGACGGCCCAGATCCGTTCCTGCGCGCACGGACGGCTCAGATTCACGCGCACGGACGGCCCAGATTGCATCGCGATGGACGGTCCAGATTTAATCTCAATTAAATTGCGATCGAACGGTCCAGATTTAATCTTGATGAACGGCTGAGATTAAAAGGAAAAGGGTATAAATACCCCCACCCACACCTGACCAGAAAACCCTAGCCGCCAGTACCTCACCAGAGAAGAAGAACCAGACGCCGTCACCCGCCGCCGCACCGGGGAAGTTTTCGACCGCTGATTGAGGTAAATTTTCTCCTCCTTGCTCGTTTTTCGATGCTGCGTCCGCCTATGGCCAAACCAGAGCCAAACCACCGGCCAAACGGCCGAAAAACCCAGCCGAAACCCAGCGGCGCCGCCGCACCCCTCCTCGGTTTTTGCCTCTGATGAGGCCCTTCCCGGCCTCCGTTTGATGCAAATTTTATACCACTGTGATCACCGTTCTTTTCTCTACAGGTTGATCGGAGCCAAACATCAAAACGCAACTCACGCCGGAGGAGCTGTCGCACCCGAGAGCACCGCCGTCGGTAAGTTTCAGTTTTTCGTGATTTTTCGGTCCACCGAGGGCCCTAGGGTTGTTTTATCGTAGGGACCGATGCAAGCGTGGCCGAATTCGGCCGAAAATGACCAACCTGAGGCAAATCGCCGCCGTAAGCGGCGACGCCGTCGCCGGAACACGGCGGAGCCGCCGTGCCGGAATTGCGATATTGGCCGAAATGGGCCCTAGGTCTAATTTGGGATTTTTTGGGACACGTGCAGGTACCAGTAGTGCGTTTCAGTTTCCCGGGAAAAATTCAGGAAAAATTAGGGACAGCCTGTAGGCACACTGTAGAGTCGAATTTAGACTCCGAAATAAGTAAGGACCCCTCACCCTATTTCCTATCACGGTATTGAAGCCAAATAAATAATTAAACTATATTGTGTGACTTTATAGATGTATAATTGATTAAGGTTGCCAATGGAGCCCGAGTCTGATACTGGGTTGGTCTGTTATTGTTTAATTTAATTTTCAGTATTAAATGTAGCATGATGTTTGATGTAATTATATTATGGTCTCACCTCGGGTTGGCCATATTCGGTCCCTGCGATAGAACAACCCTAGGGCCCTCGGTGGGCCAAAAAATTACGAAAAACCGAAACTTACCGGCGGCAGGGCTCTCGGGTGCGACGGCTCCTCCGGCATGAGTCACGTTTTGCTGTTTGGCTCCGATTAACCTGTAGAGAAAAGAACGGTGATCACAGTGGTATAAAATTTGCATAAAACGGAGGCCGGGAAGGGCCTCATCGGAGGCAAAAACCGAGGAGGGACGCGACCGCACCGTAGGGTTTCGGCTGGGTTTTTCATCCGTTTGGCCGGTGGTTTGGCTCCGGTTTGGCCATAGGCGTACTCAGCGTCGAAAAACGAGCAAGGGGGAGAAAAATTACCTCGATCGGCGGTCGAAAACTTCCCCGGTGCGGCAGCGGGTGGCGGTGGCCGACTTCTCCGGCGTCTGGTTCTTCTTCTCCGGCGAACACTGGCGGCTAGGGTTTTCTTTGGTCAGGTGTGGGTGGGGGTATTTATACCCTTTGCCTTTTAATCTTGACCGTCCATCAAGATTGAATCTGGACTGTCTGATCGCGATTTAATTGGGATTAAATCTATGCTGTTCATCGCGATGCAATCTGGGCCGTCCGTGCTTGATTGAATATGGGCCGTCCGATCGCGCGCACGCGGATCGCCCACGTGGCTCGTTCCCTGGTCAGCGTTGCCTTGCCACGCGGCGCGTTTTGGTTGGCTGGGGCCGCTGACGTGGCACAACTTTTCTAAATTGTGTTTTGACCCCTGATTTCTAATTTTCTTTTCAAAAATACTCCCAGAATTCAAATTTCCACCCTTTTTTTCCAAAATCAATTTCAATTAAGTCCAAATAATATTTTTACCCAATTTTATCATTTTTATTATTTATATTTTCATTGAATTAAATTAAACTAAGTTAAATAAAAAATCAAATAAAAAAAAGAATAAAAATAAATAAATAAATAAAATTTTTATTTATTTATTTGGGTGTTACAACTCTCCCCCCCTTAAAGAAATTTGGTCCCCCAAATTTGCCTCTTACTTTTGGTCGAACAAATGGGGATACTGAGCTCTAAATTCTGATTCTAGCTCCCAAGTAGCCTCCCTGGGCATGTGGTTCTGCCACACGACCTTTACAAATGATATTTCCCGCTTGCGGAGTATTCTGCTCTTTCGGTCTGTGATACCGACCGGCACTTCTTCATAAGACAAGTCCTCTTGGAGTGAAAGCGGTTCATGGGCCAAAACATGAGAAGGGTCCGGGTTGTACTTACGTAGCATGGATACGTGGAACACGTTGTGGACTCTGGAGAGCTCTGGAGGCAGTGCTAGTCTGTAGGCAACAGTACCAATCCTGTCTATGATTTCGAAGGGTCCAATATACTGGGGGTTTAATTTTTTCCTCCTGCCGAACCTACTAATTCCCTTGAAGGGAGTGACCTTAAGAAACACCCGGTCGCCTTTCTCAAACGCTAGGTCTCTCCTCCGGGTATCTGCATAACTCTTCTGCCTACTCTGAGTTGTTTGAATGTTCTTCTTGATTTTAACTATCTTGGACGTGGTCTCCTCTACCAACTATGGCCCGAACAATCTTCTATCGCCCACCTCCTCCCAGTAAATCGGTGATCTGCACGGGCGCCCATATAACGCCTCATATGGAGCCATGCCGATACTTGCTTGGTAGCTGTTGTTGTAGGCAAACTCTATCAGGGGCAGATGGTCGTCCCAATGGCCCCCAGAGTCAAGGATACAA